CACGCGGAGTTTGTTAGGCTCCACAGCGCACTTAGAGTTCTTCACAAGATGGATGTGAAGTCCTCCTCCTCCAACTTGGGCGGAAACTGCTCAAGCCTCTTATACGGCTAGCAAGCCAATCGCTAGCCGCCACGTGGGAATAATTTAGAAACAGCCAATAGTGAGAAACAAATTTACATACGGGTGGCGGGAACTCCTTTGCACCGGGGTTTTCTCTATGCAACTGAGAATTGCACCGTGCAAAGAAAGCTCCTTGTGGCGGGAAATAATTCTGCAGTGCTGAAGCACACAAAATCATACCCTTTGGGTCATGACAGTGTCAACATTTCAAATGGAAACAGTTCAGAAAGGAGCTATAAAAATAATTTGAAGTCTGGAAAGGCTGCTTGATGGGGAGGAAGCTCAATCTATTTAACCTATGTAAGAGAAAGTTAAAGGATCACTTGATCACGTATATAGTGGGTACATCTTACACAAGACTCTTTACAGCTCAGCACAGCAAATTACCACACGGTAAGTGTCATGGTCTATACATACAGATGCTTACTGCACAGTAATTTGCTCTAACTGTGAGTTAATTTGCTACCTGTAAATACAAGCAGCAAATTAACTCCTGAGTAGTTACTGCACAGTAACACACAAGTAGACACTGGCCAAGAGCAAATTTGCTCCTGGTCAGCCCCACCACCAGGGGGCCACCCTCAGCCTAGCCCCAGGGCCATGGGGCTGGGAGCTTCTCCAGCCCCAGGGCTAGGGCAGCTCTTTGCCTGCCCAGCCCTTGGCCCTAAAAAGGATTCATGGATGCTGGGGCCCTGGGTCACCTGCAGCCAGCCTCTGGCTACTGCATTTCCCAGCAGAGGTTCCAGGCCAGCTGCAGCAGCCTGCCCAAACCCCAGCGCTGGTCCCCCAGGACTCTGTCACCACACAGCTGCCAGGCCCACACTGTTGTGCTGTGGACACCTGCCAGGCCTAGCAGCACCCTGTGCTATCTGCAGCCAGCCTCTGGCCACTGGGTCCCACTCCAGCTGGCCCCAGGTCATCTACAGCAGCCTGCTTGGACCCTGCTGCTGGTGCCTGGCATACCATTGCCATGTGCCTGCCTGTCCTGTGCCATGCCCCTGTGCTGGGCACTGCAGGCACCTGCCCAGGCCCACCAGTACCAGGACTGCCACATGGAGGCCCAGCAAGCCACCAAAGGAGTCATGTTGGCATCCTCCCTGATGCCACACATCACCTTCTGGGGCTGCAACTGGTTCCAGGAGAAGACCACAGACCTCATCACACTGTGGGGCAAGGTTGAGGTCCTCAGCCAGTTTGTGTGGAGTGGGTACTCCAACATGCATATCTACAAGGGCCTGTCAGGCTGCATGCGGGAGCATAGGCAAAACTGGTTGGTATGCTAGTGCCACATAAAGGTCAAGGCCTTGCAGGTACAGTGGGTCACTGATACCAACCACAACAACTGGTTGGGGCTGCCCACAAGTCCATGCCCTTTATGCAGCAACTGAATGCCATCCTCATTCCCCGGGACCCTGGCTTGAGCCATGCTGTGTACTTGAGCAGGGGGGAGCCTGCCTGAGCCACTGCTGCGGCCTGGCACCCACAGTGCCGCATTGCTGGGGAAGGACCCTTGGAGCACCAGGAGCATGTACCAGTGTGCTCCCTGCCCCTGGCCTCATCCAGCAGCACATGTTCTGCCAGCTCTGGGTGTACAACCCCACCCAGGAGGCCAGGCTGGCCATGGTATTGCCAGTCCTCAGCAGATCCAGCTCCCCACTGGAGGGGGCCTCTGCCCAGGCAGCCAGATGCCAGGCCCCTGTGCCCTAGGACACTGCCAGGAGCTACATGTCTTCACCACCAGTGGGGACTGACTCAGACCACCAGGCATACCTGCCACCCCATCTGGTAAGCCCCATACTGGGAAGAGAGACCCTGCCCTTGCCCCTGGCCCTCGCCCTGCCCCCCTCCTCACCCTGCCCAGCCCAGCTGTGCTCCCCTGGCCCCAAGTTCCACTCCCCACAGCATGCAGGGAAACAGGAGGGAGTGCAAAACTTTACTGAGCAGCCTGGTCCCCCACAGCTGGGTGGGCACAGGCCTCTTACATGTTGAGGAACACATCAATGCCGACAGTGATGTTGTCCTTGCTTGCGAGGGCCAGGTACATGTACTGCAGCCACAGATTGCCGTACAGGTGGCAGTGGAAGTTGTGGGGCAGGGTGAGCTTGTCCTCTGCACCATTGAAGTTCAGGTCCTATGCTAGATTCACTGGTATGCCTAGGACACCACGACAATCATCATAATCAGAGATTAGTGGGTTGGACACCCCTCAGTCCATGCAAACAGCTCCTTGTGGTATGCCCAGGACACTCTCAGTGTGGGTATGCTCAGGGCACAGAGCCGACACATGGAGGGTGGGGGTTGGCCCCAGGGCACCTCCCTAGACAGCACCCCTGGGGAGAAGGTGGGGGTGCCACCAGCTCTGCATCCCAGTCAGCTGGGAGTCCCTTGCCCCACAAGCCTGGGCACCATGGGCTTGGGAGAAGCACAGAAGACAGGCTGGCTTGCAGAAGGAGAAGGGGGGGACAGTGGGTCTGGAGCCGCAGCAGCAGGTGCTGCCAGGAGCCAGGCCTGTCCCAGCCTGGGGAGGTGGCAGGGCGCCGGGACCAGGGCCTGTCCCAGCCTGGGGAGGTGGCAGGGGAGGCAGGCTGCCTGCAGCCAGCACCCAGCAGCCCACCTGACCCTGCAAAATAAGCAGGGATGGGGGGGGCTCATCTGGCAGCTGCCTGTGCCAGGGCCTGCCCAGCTAACTTACTGTATTCTGTGGGCACTCGTGCACACACAACACCTGATCTGGGGCCAGGCTGCACACATACGTTATGAGCATCTTATCTCAGAAATGTTGCAAACTATCACAAACAGCCTGTAGCAGGGACCTGACCAAGGTGCATACTCAGCAGGGTGACAACTACCAGTATGCTTTGCTGGTGGGCTCGCAGCTGTTCCAGCAGGAAAGCAGTGAACCCACAGGTGATCCACTGCTTCCCCACCCCTAGGGTGAGGTGAGTGGCTGGTGGAGAAGAGGCTCACAGCTGGCCTCTTCCCCAAGACAGAATGAGAGCTGGGAACCAGCCATCAAAGCAGGCAGGTGGTGAGAACAGGCAACACCACCTAGGGCCTGGGTACCACAGGTACAGTGAGGGTGTACCAGCGCCCCTTCAGGCAGCCAAAGGCACACTCTACCAGTGTGCAGGTCTGGCACAGGTACCAGTTGAAGTGTACCCAGTGGAGGTTCAGGTGGCCAGTGTAGGGCCACAAAAGCCAGGGAAGGAATGGGTAGGTGAGATTCCCAATGAGATGGGGTGGGACCACTACCACACCCCAGCATGAAGTGTCTGCTCTCCATCAGGGTTGGCAGGGTGGAGTTGCAAAACATGTGGGTATTGTGAGCATTACCTGCCTAGCCAGCGTTCACACTGATGAAAGTGCTGTGGTTGTCGATGATGGTCTGGAGTATGATGGAGTGGAAAACCTACCAGCTGTAGTAGGGATAGTCACTGTGGGGTGAGCAGGTGACAGGGATGTGGGTCCTGTCCAGGGCTCCAGCACACCCTGGGCTTCCCCCAGTGCAGACCCCCACCAACACCTGCAGGGGGTTGTGCTCCCAGAGCACAGTATGCCCCAGGACATCCTGGATGCTGCCACAGACCTCTAGGACAGACTCCCTGGCAGTCACCTTACTAACTTTGAAGAGATGGCTGATGTAGTGGAGGCTGGCAAGTATGGCCAGCTTAGGCAGGGTGATGGCCAACTGGGTGTCTATGGGGAAGGGTGGCCACATGGTGGTGCTCTGCTGCTCCAGGTGTGTGCAGAGCTGGTTGAGGAGCTCCTGGAAGGTGTCCCTGGTCATGCAAAAAGACTTCAGCCACTGCTTCTCATCCCAGGTGGTCTGGACAATGTACAGGCACCAGTCCTGGCTGGCCTGGCAGGCCCACAGGTGGTGGGATGGAGGCCCAAGAGCTCATGGATGGCACCAATGGTGACATCCAGGTGTATGTCATCAGCATCCATGCTGGAGTCCAGGCAGCAGCAGAGAGTCTGAGTGGTAGCAGTGTGTTGGCAGGGGGCCTGGGACAGTGCAGTGAGCTAGGCCAGGCAGCCCTGCTTTTCAGCAGGGCCACCAGGGCCAAGACTGACTTGTGCCAGGTAACAGTCAGCATAGTGGGCCAGCACAGCAAGCAGGGTGGCCAGCAGGAGTCCACGGCAGTGTACATTGCTCCCAGGGACTCAGGGTAGAGCAGCCATAGAGTGGTGAGCAGAGAATCTGGTAACAGCCACGGCATACTGGCACTGCCTTGCAGGCTGCTACGGGGCCAGGTGGCCAGGGAGCAGGGCTAGCTTTTAAAGATGGCCGCCAGCCATAGGCAGGTGCGGCCTGAGCTTCCAGCTCCCCCTGGCTGCTGTAGGGGCCCGGTGCAGGACTGGAGGGGGGCAGGAGCAAACTGTTGCCATAAGCAGCAAATCTACTCCCAAACGGCCACATGTGTAGATGCCTACCATGGGTAGGTTTACTCCAAAGTAAATTACTCTGGAGTAAACCCATCCAGGAGCATTTGCACATGTAGACATACCCAGTGAAGAAATAACTGATAGTGGATGGCTCTTCTGCAGAAAAGGATATAATGAGATTCAGCTGGAGCTCAGAAGATTCAGAGTAGAAATAAAGGTCAAGAATCAGCCAATAGAAATAATGCAAGTCATATATGAGCATAAATAGCGATTGGAGCAATTTACCTATAGACATGGCAGTCTCCTTCACTTGAATCCGTTATGTCAAGACTGGATGTTTTTCTAAAAGATATCTGATAGCTTGAAGTGAAATTATGGATTTGATGTAGGAATTGTTTTTATGGATTATCATAACTATCCCTTCCCTTAAAATGTATGCAACTATGAAGCAAAGGCCATGACAATGTCTGGAGTTGCACTACCTATTAGGGTCTTTTATTACTTAACAGGTTGCCATAGTTCAGCATTTCTAAACAAGTTTTTATCATTGTGACCATATCACACACAAAAGAAACCCTTCAAAATGAAGCTAAAGGACTGGCATTCACACAGTTTTGCAGTCCTATTTTTGTTCCTAAAGTGGTCAAAACAGATGCCACCAAATATTAGAGGGTGGAGTCAAAACATTAATTGCTTGTACTATATCCAAGTAGTGTATGACTACTGCTGCTCTGAGTCCGCTGAGTCCTTTGTCACAGACTTAGAAGGCAAGGATAACACCTGCGGGGAGTTTCAATCTTCACAATGCTGTTGGGTCCTACAGTGTACATCACCTCATCTTCATCCACTCCTGGAGGCAAATTGATCTCCTTAGTAATGTTTTTATAGTTGTATTCCTTTCCTCTTAGGGTCCTATATTCCTCTTCATGTTCAGCTAATAATTTAACTTTCCCATCTTTCACCTTTACTGTAACATCCTCTGGGTCAAAACCTTTAACATCCATCAGAGCTAAAAGCTTATGATCATGGCATGAGCTCAACATCCTATTAATTCTTCTTCGCTCACTACAATAAATAAAAAAACAGAAACAAGAATATCATCTTTCAGTTCAAGTGCTTAAAAAAGGATTAATGGAATAAACAGCATGAATAGGAACACATTTATCTGGGGGCAGGGAAGTAAATATAAAATAAGAGAATCTATTCTCATATGTATACTGAAGCATGCTACTTGTGTCACCATCAATGAGTGTGCTGTTACCTTTGTAATCAAAGGGATTCCTTTGTGCAGTCTTAGAATGAGGAGGCTCTGAAGGGGAAGAGGTTCATGTCACCTTGGCATATCACTCTCCACCATCAAATGGCTATTTAAAATGAATTGCATTTTCTACTAAGTGCTCTTGTTTCAAATGATCTATGTACAGGTTTGGCAGTAAAAGAAAAGTGGCAGTAAAAAAAAAGTGCCTCTTTGCAATGCTCCTGGATGGAGGGTAACTGGGTCATTACAATTATTTCTTATTGAAATTATTTCTTACAGTAGGACTGTCCAACTTCTAGGCAGCCATAGGCTGCTTACCCCACAGGTTCCATCAAGGTGAGCTATGGTCACCTGGGGCCACCCACCCCATGGATGCCCTGCACCATGGTACTGTACCCATGACTACACTGCACACTTGCACCACTCCCCACTGCTACACTGCGTGCCCATAACCCCCTTTACCACAGGCCCTCAACCTCCCCTGCTGTTTCACTGTGTAACCATTGCCTCACCATCAGCTCTTCTCACTACCACAATGCCCCATCCCTGGGGTGGGGGAAGGAAGCGACAGCCAGAGGTGGGAAGGGGAGCCCAGAGACGCTAGCTTCTAGTACCTGGGCAATGAGGAGAGAGGCAGCTGGGCAGGAGCCCCGGACCACAACTTAACTCCTTGCAGGACGCATGGTTTGGGCCATCAGTTGGACAGCCCTGTTGTACACTATGGAATAACCTCTAAGCATCTAGAAGAATGACTCTTGTTTGAACCATTTTCAAAATGCTCAGTAGAAGAGTCCAGCCTCAACTGTAACAGACAGAATGGGACATAAACTACCATCTTAAAAGGATATTTGTGATTGAGAGAATGCATAAATATTACATACATAGACAGGGCCAATAAGATGGTAATTTACTACCAGGGCCCTGGTAGATGTTACATGTATTGCGGGCTATATGTGAGTTTCCTACAACAAATGATAACCTGCCAAATGTTAAAGGAATTTGTCCCAAGATAGAGATGGCCAATCTACCACAAAAAATGGTCAAACCATTACAAAGAAGTTGCTGTTTGAAAGACAAATTTAACATGTGACCAGGTCTTAGACCCACCACAATCCCACAGTGCTCTGCTCTCACTCTCTGACTCCATGAAAGGAGGGAGAGCAGATGATTCCTTGATAGCCCACCCAACAAACTTTGTGGCACTACAAAAATGTCTATCAGGGTCTCTAGTCTCTTCCAACTCCAGGACTGTTAAAAGTGCTCTATGCCTCAAAACGTGTCCAACATCTTTTCCAACTATGCAGCTGGTCCAACAGAAGATATCTTTATTTTTCAAAAATCAACCCTTGCCTCTGTACGTTTCCTGGAACATTATGGCTACAACAACACGCCAACCATACTATTTTTATTATATATGGTTAAGATAACTTTTCAAAACTTTGTGCTAAGTTGAATTATCTTTCTTGCTCCATGAGAACTCATGAGTTCTCTGCTTTTGCCTCCTTGGACATTCTTTCAAGTCACTTAGGAATGGGTGATCTTAGATGAATAAAAGTTGGGGAAAAGGACCATGGTGACTGGAAAGTTATAGCATCAATTTGATTATTTTAGACTGACAAGCTGAAATCCTTTTTATGAGTGACTTTAGATCAAAGCAGCATGAGCAGATACATGATGAAAATGAAGCCAATTTAATAAACAGTGTGGCAAGGCTTAACAATAAAGACCTAATACTCTGGAAAAATGTTTCAGTGGAACTGTTAGATCAGATCCTGAAGTCCTTTCTCTGTGTTTACTTTGGTAAAACTCCTGTTAACTTAATTGGTTCTTGCTTGAGTAAAGACTTCACAATTTGACGCTACATACCAAATTCTAATTTTAATTATGGTAAAAATCCAGGATAATTTCACTAGTCAGCTCTGTGTCACCCTGTCCTATACACAGTCTAGAATAGGTTGTGTCTGAGTGGCAGCTACCACAATTAGAAAAGCTGTTACCTTTTAATAAGCTGAGAGTGACCCCTAGGCTATTCTGTATTACTGGGGCTGATATAAAACTAACCCACAGACTGGGAAGCCCAATGCTAGTTTCAGTTTTATCCCCCTCCTCCAGCTTTCTTGCATCCAGTGGAAATTGAGCACAGTAGAGATTATGGGACAATATTAGGTCCTTAGTGCGTGCATCTACATGACACATTTTACTGCGAAGTATAGTTTACTGTGCAGTAAGCATGTATGTCTACACATGTACATGCTTACTGTGCAGTAAACCTCACTAATCGGGAGTAAATTTACTACCTGACTGGTAGCAAATCTGTTCACAGTCAGCCAGCCACCAGGGGCAGGAGATTGCTCCACCACCAGACCCCAGGTGAAGGCTGTGTCCCCTTGCCTCAGCAGCAGGGAGCTCCAAGCCCCCTGCTTCAATATCACAAGCAGGAGCTGGGAGATCCTTATCTCCCAGTGCCAGCTCCATAACCATGGGGCTGGTGCTGGGTGATCCTTATCTCCCAGTTCAAGCTCCGTGGTTGCAGGGCTCAGGCTGGGAGACTCTTATCTTCTAGCCCAAGCTCCACGGTCTTGGGGCTCAGGTTGGGAGACTCTTATCTCCCAGCACCAGCTCTGTGTTTGTGGGGCCAGCGCTGGGAGATCCTTATCCGTTACTGTGGAACTGAGTCGGGAACAAGCTCCCCAGCCTGCTCCCCACCCAGCTCTGCACTCATGAAGCTAAGCAGGAAACAAGCTCTGCAGCCCCTGCCCCACAATCACGGAGCAGGGGCTGGGACCTGTCCTGGTCAGGGGCAGGTCCCAGCCCCGTGCCCCAATAAGTGATCAGTGATCAAGGCACGGAGCTTGGAAAGAGGTGCAGGGGTGGGGCAGGTCCCAGCTCCTGACCCCACTGGCAGGTGGGGCAGGGGGCTGGGACCTGCTCTACCCCTGCCCTGCAGCTCTTTTCAAGTCCTGTCCCCAGTCGGGGAGCCAGGGCCAAGAGCTTCCTGCTGCAGGGGCAGGGGAACATTGTCCTTGCCCTGGCAGCAGACAGCCCCCTAGGAGCAGGGTGCAATGTCCCCGCTCCCTGCCAGCCCTTGAACTAGCACACAGGAGGAGCCTGGAACTTCCCCTGGTGGCGGCAGGGGCCCATTGCAGGGCTGCAGGAAGCAGGATCCATTTGCTGCCATTAGCAGCAAATCTACTCCTGCTTCCTTGCATGTGTGGACACCTGCCCAGGAGCATTTACTCACAAGTAGTTTACTCGCAAGTAAACTGATCCCGGATCAAATGCATGTGTAGATGCACCCAGTATGTAATGAAAGTATCAGATTTTAATTAGCAAAATTTAGGCTTCATCTCCAGGCCCAATATTTGACAGAAGTTAAGCAAACCATATTAAAATAACTTCTTTAATAAACACTATGAAAGAGATTCCCTCTCTTACTAATTATATTCTGCTTTGCTAACTCAGGATTTCTTACTTACTGATTGCTTTTTTATACTTCTGTAAAAGTAAGACGTTTGTAACATTTATCAGAGATTCAAGGATTCTACTGATACTAGAATAAATCTGAAGCTTCACTACAAACAGCAAAAATAACAATAAGTAAATTCCTCAACTCTTAATAGAGTTAACGTGGATTATACTGCTAGACTGATCTGTGGTTAAATCTGAGAGTCAATGGTTTGTCACTGAGTTTGAAACAGCCTTTAAGATATTGAATTTGTTGCTTTTGAGAGTTATTGTTATAA